TCCTCGACTGCACTGGATCCAACTTGCTCCATTTCAACTGACACTCTGGCCAGAGGTTCGGGTACTGACCTCAATCAAGTTGAGGATTTCAAGAAAGATCTCCAATCAAGCGAATCCCATCTAACATTGACTGGATACAATTCATTCAGACTTTCACTATACTAACATTTTCTTCCTACAGGACCCCACATGACTATCATCATCCCATTTCAGCAAAAAGTAACTTAGAGGATGCTACGCCCCCTTTCCCCATTGTTGTCACTTAAGATAGTGTATATACCTAGTTAGGGATAGCTTCCTATTGTTTATGGTTGGGATTGGAAGGAGGTGTTCAGGCTTGGACCCCTCTTTCAGATGACTTTAGGGTTTAGTTAAAATAGATAGTTAGGATGTGACATAAGCAGATTGTTGTATCTTCTTATATTTTACCTTTATGATTGTTAATTTTGGATACTTTACACTGTTAAGTTTTAATCCTCTTTTAGACTAAAAGGGGAATTGTATGGGAAGCTGTAGCCATGCCTACTTAGGGGCTGGCTACAGGTGTTCCTGACCACGCTTGTGAGGGCATGGTCAGAGTGACGTAGTGTGACTGTGTTTGTGCTTTCGGTTTCACTTTGGTACTTGCTGTACAGACTGCTGCCACGCCGGCTGGCTAGGTCGCTCTGTAAGTAAGGCTTTTCCCTATTAAATACCCTTATATTTCTACCTGACTCTGTATTGGTAATTTCCCACTATAATTTTCTGCTCATATTTTCCTGTCTTCTTCCATAAACATGTATTGATAATCCATGTAAGGAATGTGTGAAGGTATGAGGACATCAAGATAAAAGGTATCTCTTACCATAAGAATTTCATAATAAGCCAGTTGAGCATGCTGGCACATATAATTAATCTTAGTGCTCCACAGGAGAGGCACTTGGATCTCTATGACTTTGAGATCACCCTGGTCTACATAATGAGATGCAGGCCAACCAATGCTGCATAGGAAGACCCTGTCTCAAAAGGAAAATCTTGAAAGTCAGTCAAGGGTTAAAGACATCAGATACAACACAAATAGTTACCATGTATAAAGTCAGAGGTGAGACGGAGCCTCGAGAGAGCAATGAGCACAACCTAAATGAAGAGGGTACTAATCCTCTCTTTTCTCGAGAAGGAAGCATTCCTGCTTGTGTGAAAGGGAAAGTAACTGACAACTAAGAAACCTGGGAAAAGAAACCACACAGAAGCAAGTCAGAGCAAAAGCATCAAGAGTGCATGGTCTTTCTGGAGACAAGCAAGTGACTGAGCATGACTAGAACTGTTCAGATGTAGTGCACACACACACACACACACACACACACACACACACACACACAGATGATGGTAATACAACAATGGGATGAGGGGTGCACAGGAGGTGATTAAAATCATTGATCCCACAAAGAAGTACAGGACGGGATGAATCTAGGTGTACCCATTAAGGTCTTCCCCATAGTCAACTAGATGATGGGAAAGAGCACTGAGAATTTAGACTGGAGGAATGGCCCTACGTGGTGATAAATAATCCAGATGAGAAGCATACCCATATTCACTTAAATGGGTATCCATTATAACATACAGGAGACAAAGATAGGCAATCCCACTTCGTGGTGATTTCCCTGGAGGGACAGGGAAGGAGAAGATAGGAGCTCCTATGACCTCCCATCCTCCTAATATCAGGATGATTACAAAGCATTTGGATCAGACTCAGACATCTGTGGCTTATGTCTTTGCCTGCATGGTCTATTTGACACGGGCAACATCATCAAGGTTCGGAACAGAGCCACTTCCCTACAGTCAATGAGGGCAGGTTTGGAAATGAGCACATAAGTAATTAAGGGAAAACAAAGCAACAGCAAAAAGCAGTTTGGTAGGCAGGTAGAGAAGTCGGCAATAACATTCCTGTTTCTATGGAAGATCGTAGTTCTCAACCTTCCTAATGCTGTGGCCCTTTAATACAGTACCCTATGTTGTGGTGACCCCCAAACCATAAAATTATTTTCATTGCTATTTTATAAACTGTAATTTTGTTACTCTTATGAATCATAATATAAATATCTGTGTTTTCCAATGGTCTTAGGCAACTCCTGCGAAAGGGTTGTCTGGCTCCCAAAGGTGTTGTGACACACAGACTGAGAATTGCTGATCTAGAGCAAGTGAGTGGGTGAGACACACACAGAAACAGGTTACATGAACTCTACAGACCAGGATTCATATGGAAGTGAGGGTGACTTAGGGCTATTGCATCACCCTGAGGAACACTCTTGGGATCTCCAAAAAAGGCAGAAGACAGCAGGAATTGGACAATTGGACACATGGTTTAGAAGTTCCTAAGGATCTGGTCTGGAACCAGAACTAAAATTAAAGCCAATGATAATCTGAAGTCAAGTAGAAGGGTACACAAATGAGAAGACAGAAGGGCATCTAAAATAATAAAAAAGTGGTTGTTTTTTTTTTTAAGAAAAAACAAAACATTCTCAAATAACAAGAACCAGAGAAGTAGAATCACAACAAGCAAGTATCTTTTAAAAAGTGTATCCTTTTCTTCTTCTGCGTGGATTAGCTTTTAATTGTCTGGAAAGATCAGGTTTCTAAAAGGAAATTTGTTACTATGGAAACAGGCTTTCAATATCAAACAGGCAGTTTGACCACAACAAGGTAATTACTTTAGTTTTCCCCTTAATTTCATGATTTCTTACGTTTCAATAAGTATATATCCTGTTGGTCAGAAATATCCAGTCATCTAGGGCTGTGGTGAGCCAAAGCATACACACATAGGTAGGTCTCCTGTGAACTTCCCAAGCTGGTGACCACTGGGTCCCACAGACCCAGACATTCTGGGACTTTACCGCTTTGCACACCGTCAGAGTGGGCAACTCTCCAAACTCAAGTAACCATCCACCTTTTCACTCATGAGCAAATCCCCTCAGTCAGGCACATGAGAATCTCATGTTCCCTGTCAGTCTATTCAAGGGTACATTTCAAGCTGTATTAAAAGAGTAAATTTATAGGATTTAAAGAAATATCAAAATTTTAAAACTTTACGGAAGTTATGTTACCAATTTCTCCTTTAGATCATAATTTCAAACTGCTAAACTCAGGACCCACTCATGTTTAAATAAGTCTACTAACCTTATCCAGAAAACGTTTTATAGCTAATTCCTGTCTCTCTGCTTGAGCAAAGTCTCTATGTCTCCCGATGGAAGCAATTATCTGAGTCTCTTTTTCCAAAAGTTCGAACAGAGCAGCTTTCCTTTCAGCTTGAGTTAATTGTTGGTTAATTTGTTCAGCTTCTTCTTGCCGCCAAACTAGAGGAACAACACAAAAGACTCTTGAGTTATCAAACTCCACCGCTTTTTAAAAGACAGAGATTTTTTTAATTATATTAATTTACCTAATTATTTTGAAATTATTGCTGTGTGGGGGGTGTACATTAGTATAGATGTTCTTGGAGGCCAGAGGTGTTGGATCTCTCTGGAGCTGGAGCTACAGGTGACTACAGCCACCTTATGTGATTGCTGGAAATCAAACTCAGGCCCCAGCTCTCCAACACTAAAGATAAAATGATTTTGTGCAGCTCTTAGTTCAAACGCACTAAGTGTTCTTAACAGTTTGGGATCCTTCACAACCGATGCTCTTTCATTCATTCTTTCAGCTTCTGCAAGTCTGAAGACTTTCTTTGATTTCCTCTGTTCTTTCTCTCTTACTTCTTACTCCATCTTACAACCTGCTTCCCCAAGGACCAAACTAGTAGTTTTATACACAATAGTTTACATTACTTATCACATTTATTTTATCACTTTCTATTCTGACAAAACTCTAAATCACATCATACAAATTTTAGATTAACTGCATTATGTTATAATAATCCTAAAGGTGTTTTAAAAGCACTGGTCAGTATAAATAAAGATGATGTTTCATAAATATAGTCCAAGATCGTACCAAAAGACTCCAAAGAGCAATAATTTAGTAAACCCATTCTATCTAAATATAGACCTACATTATCACATATGAATTTCTATATCATATCTCAAGCTTAAATCAAAGTTTCTAGACTCAGATCTGTTTTTAATAATGGTTCTATTCAAATCCTAAAGCAAACTAATTTGAGGAATAAAATTCTTTTTCACTTCACATTTCAAAACTGCTGAGCTTATAGTCACAGAGCATAGGATAGGAAATGACCTTAGAAATTAAATTGCTCAATCCTACATCCAATCACATAGCCTCCTTTCAGTGGCCTGGATAGGAATAATTTACCTGCCACAGAACCAATTTCTTGAACTACGTGTCATCCCTTTGCCTAGCTGAAGGTAGCATCTCATGTCTGTCTGACATTTTCCCTTCTCAAGACACAAGCACTTCCATTTTTAAATTGTACACAGTGTGACATAATTTCCTCTCACATACAGGTCAACCATTTCCTGTTTCCTAACACACCACTCAAAATATGCTGTCAAATTCTGTCAAAATAGGGGCTTCCACACAACCTGCCACACACTCTCCTGACTGAGATGACAAAAATATGAAGAGAGATATAGCGCATCAATAGACATGAGGAAAGTATGTGCTATACCAATAGCAGGCAGAATTCCCAGGAAATACAATGAAGATTTGGGTGAATAAATTAAAAATTAACCATCCCCAAAATATGCAAGCGCTGCTTCCCAAACTGGCACAATATCTCGGGAAGTGGGTCTCGTGGAAGAAGGTGGTAAATCTCTAGCTTGACTGGCAGCTAGAGAAGGGCGAACTCTGAAGCCAGTTGATCGTTACCATGCCTTAAGAAAGTCTCTGAAAAGCCTAAAGAGAATGTCTAACGTTTGAAATCACAGCTGAAAACACTGGTAACTATGTCGGTATGTACAGAAAAAGAAATTTTTGAAACAAAGTATAAAGAAAGGGGAATAAAGCAATGGGTAATAAGTTATGTTTAAAATATGAGATTATATTTACATATTAATGTATAATATTTTACATAGTAATAATTTACATATTAATCTGTTGCTGTTTAAATAGAATAACTTTGAAGATTTCTTTCCTTTCTTTCTTTCTTTCTTTCTTCCTTTCTTTCTTCCTTCCTTTCTTTCTTTTTTTGAGAAAGCTTCTCTATATAGCTCTGGCTGTCCCAGAACCCACTCTGTAGACCAGGCTGGCCTCAAGCTCATAGAGATCCACCTGCTTCTGCCTCCCTGAGTATTGGGATTAAACGTGTGTACCACCACTGCCAGGCAACTTCGAAGATTTCTAATAATTATTTTTATTTATGTGCATGTGTGTCTGTTTGTCTTGTGTATATGCCACAAGTGTCCTCAGAGGCCAGAAGAGGGTGACAGATCTATGTGGGTTTGAGGCCAGCCTGGTCTACAGAGCAAGTGCCAGGACAGGCTCCAAAACTAGACAGAGAGACCCTGTCTGGGAAAAAACAAAATAAATAAATAAATAACCTTTCTCTTGTATGCCTATTGTACCTGTCAATATCCCATCACTTCCTTATTCATTCAAACCACTCATCAATGTGTCAGTAGTTATTCTGTGAAAGGACATCTATAAGATGCTGGGTGCATAAGTAAGACTGCCTTACTTTCTTCTTAGAAACCAGCACATTTCCTAGCCTCTATCTAATTGGATAGGTGGTTTTAAAAAAAATCCCAAAGAACAGAGTTTCTGCTTCTCTTTCAATTTATCATCCTTCAATGCCCAGCGTTTTCCACCACTGGATTTTAAGACTTTGTTTGAATAGATGCGTCTTGACATGAGAGTCTATATCTTGTTCTACAGACATGATTCAGGCATATTTACTCCCCAAATGTTGTGTTACAGACATGGTTACTTCTTCATGGGGCTGCAGGAACATTTCAAGATGTATTTCTTTTATATGACCTTATAGAGTTAGAAAGTGTTTGCTTTCTGCTAAAACTTCAGATTTACCTTAATAGTCACTAGGAATTATAAAATAAACATCTAAAGCCTGGGTGTGGGCTTTGGACTTCCATTTCTAGCCACTACCTTTTATAATACTTTGTTTTGCAATTTTATCAGGATATTTCTTTGTCCTCTCATATTTCAAATTGGAACCATCCAGATCAACCAACCAAAGATTGCTAGTCCCATTCTTTTTCAGGATCCTGTCTGTCCTTTATCGGGAATACATTATTCAAACACTGTCCAGCTTGATCTATCCAGCAAGAGGGTTTTGAAATGCAAAAGCTAAATTATTTCAGCTAAGATTGTGAAGTTTGAGAGCTAAATTATATTATGGAAATCCAGGAAATCTATGATTGATGAGTTTGTTATTTAAAAGTAGCTTTACCAACCAGAATAAGAAATATGACAAACCCCATATACCAAAAGGCAGTTGATGAATAAAGGGAAATTTATTCATTATTATTATTATTGCTTGTAGGAATAATAACTGAGAATATTTATCTCAAAGAATAACAAAGTTGCTTCCAAAAAGCAAATAAGAGCTGATTGATATTAGTGAGACTATTTTATTTCCCAGATTTACATCAGAAACATCCAGTGGCTAAAGTAAGTTTAGGTGTGAAGTTATTATCCAAACCAGTCTGGAAATTTCACAGAGGGATATATTGTTCTCCTATATCAATACTGGGCTGAAATCTCAGGATACACAGGTATATTCAAATACACAAGTAGACTCAAGTTTCATATTCTTGTTATGACGCTAGAAACAAAAACCAATGAATCTTAATTTTAATTTTAAAAAAATCCCTTTCCATTAGATGAAAGTAATATATCTGTATTAAGGGACAAAATACATCAGGATAATGTCCCAACCACCAAAGAGAAGTAGAAGGTCACAGAGCAGCTGAACTATTCCAAGGAGGTGTGATGTGCGGGAACAGGGAGGGAGTCTTCCCCTCTTGTGTGGCATGTGCTCCCTGGAGATGATAATGAAAAGTCAGGCGCACTGATGCTGTGCTGGCTTTCTAGCACTGCTGCAACCAAGTACATGCAAAGCTTGATGCTCTGAGCAACAGAATCCCGTTTCCTGACAGCTCTAGAGGCCATAAGTCCAAGATTAAGACGCTGTCTGGGTTGTTGCTCCTGAGGCCTCTCTTCTGGGGGTCATTTTCTCCTAGTGTTCTACCCAATATTCTACCTGGGTACTAATCAAATATTTTTATAGGGACACCAGTCCTTGAGGTGCTAAGGCATGCTTGTATACCTATTTATTTTTCTTTATTACCTCTTTTTAAAACAATATATCACCAAATACAACCACACTTGAGGTACAAAGAATTGTTGTCAAATAAGAATTTGGGGGGAACACAATTTCAACCAATAAAGAACCAGTAACTGCAAACAATTTTGAGGCAAAATATATCAAATATATTGGTTAATTGGAAATAATAAAATTAACTGTCTCTTAAACTTCTATTCTTAGACAAATTAGGGCTACTATCTCTATTCTATATTCACTCTGAAACATCTTATTTGAACTTGTTATCTCTAAGCAAAAAATCTAAGAAACTACAGTAGTTTGTCTCCCATGACAGTTAAATGCATCTGTATTGTAAAGTTCTCATCATAAACTGGAAAGCCGAATAACCTGGAAAGGGACAACATACTCCTCATGAAACTGTCAAGATGAGAAGCTTAAAGGAAAAAGGGATAAAAGTAGTAGATAAAGGTAGGCGAATTTAAATACATAGCAGTAAACAGGTGAACATCTAAATTAAATTGACATTTTAAAACACAAATACAGAGCATTGTCTCTGTGACCACATTAAATATAAATTATTATCTAAACATTCCAATGAAAAGGCACAGGTCATCTGATTGGGTTTTGAGGATAATATATAATTACATATCCTGAATATGGTAACACAGAGATCAAAAAGTCACAGAATACTGAAAGGTATATCACATTAGTGGTGATCTAAAGAAAGCTGAGTCTGGGCATAGAGATGTACACTTGAAATCTCGACAGAGGCAGGAGGATTGCAAGCTCTAGGCTAGCTTAGGCTACAAAGTGAGACTATCTGAATAGAAGAAAGAGAGAGTGAGGGATGAGGAGAAAGAGAGAAGAAAGGGAAGCAGAGGAGGGGGGATAAGGATAGGGAGAAAAGGAGGAAGAGAAAAAAAATATATTGATGTCGGTCCAAGTTTATCATAGTAAAGAATGCTACAAGAAATAAGGAGATACGTAATGATAAAGGTTTCCTTCTAGCATTAGTATATGTATTAGCACATAATTCTAAATATTTCCTCACCTAACAAGAGAGGTTCCAACTACATCAAGTAATACATAATTGAACTACAAAGAAAAACAGAAGAAACTGTAATGACAGTTTGGAATTGCAGTACCTTACTCTTAACATTTGATAAACCGGTAAGTGAGAAATTAGTAAACACATAGATTTGCATAATACTCTCAACCAAGCTTATATAACTGATATTTACCAACCATCCCTTCCAACTACTACAGAACACAAACTTTTCTCAGGTACAAGAGAACTTTTTCCAATATGACTTAAAACAAGCTGAGATAAACTTAGGATTCAAGTCATGTAGAAGTACATTCTGTAACAAAATTGGAAATTAGTAACAAAGATCCATGAAAAATCTTTTAACAACATACTTTGAAACAATCTGTCAGTCAAAGACAAATCATAAAGGTAATCAGACAGTATTTTGAAAAGAAAGGAGATCAAACTCAACATATCCTAAAGTTGGAAAGCAGTTAACACAGCAGTAGTTGAATCCAGGTCTCAGAACAATGGTCTTCCCTTTCACCATACCAGGAAAAAAAAGAACAGAAAACTGAATCAAAAGTAAGTAGAATTGAGGAAGTGATGATAAAAGGAGGAGCAGACAATAATAAAAAACAAAAGAAATGTGAGATACAAAAATCAATGAAACAGTAATAATGTAAATCCATCAGGAACAGAAGAATAACGAGAGAATTACCAGGATTTGGAATTTGGGATGATATTACTACAGATCCTACAGATAGCAAAAGGATAAAATAGAACACTGTTAGTATCGTTATGTTAACATACTCAAAATTATACAAGAAATAAACAAGTTAAATGATGCAAATTAACAAAGCTCAGTACAAGAAACATATCCTATAAATAAGATTTATCTATCAAAGATATTGCATTTAGAATCTCAAGCTTTCCCACAAAGAAAACTCAATGATGACCTTATTGGTAAATTAGAAACATTTTAAGAACAAGATACTAATTCTAAACAAAGTTTAAAAACATAAAGAAGGCTTCCCCCTCTGCTGCCCAGACCTCTCCTGAGCCCTACTCCTGCCCAAGGTCCCCATCACCCCAAGATCTCTCTGAGCCTGCTGCTGCAACCCGCCCAGACAGGAAGGACCTCCGTGAGTCTGGAAATACCTCACTCTCCCTTCCCCCTCCACCTCCCTGACCTCTCTGAGTCCTACTCCTCCCCAAGGTCTCCATCAGCCCAGGATCTCTCTGGGCCTGTGGCAGCAGAGAACGAACCCGCCTGCATAGAGTGGACCTGCCCAGACAGGAAGGACCTCCATGAGTCTTGAAATACCTCACTCTTCCTTCCCCCTCTGCCGCCCTGACCTCTCCTGAGTGAGGAGACTACCAGGAGATGCAAGCCCATCCATAGCTGCAGACATTGAAGTCTTGGCCCACACACACACCACCAGGTGACAAGAGGAGATAGAGAGGCCCTACCTGCAACCACTGGAAGAAGAGATGGGAAGAAGACAGAATAAGAACACACTCAACAGAAAGACCAATATGACAGCACCAGAATCTAGGGACTCCACACCAGCAAGATCTGAAAAGCACAACACAGAGGAAGAAGAAGAGACAGACCTAAAAATATACTTTATGAAGATGTTCGAGACCCCTAAAGAGGAAACAAGAAAATCTCTTAAAGAAATAGAAGAAAAAGCAAACAAAAAAAATTCAAGAATTAAGTAATTCTCTTAAAGAGTCTAAAGAAAAAAACCAAACAAGTGAAGGAAGCACTGAAAACAAATAAAGGCATGAAAGCTGAAATAGAAACAATAGAGAAAACACAGAAGAAGGGGATGCTGTAAATACAAAGGCTAGATAAACGATCAGGATCCAAGGATGTGATTGTAACCAA